CAGGACAGGAAGAGGGGAGTTATAGGTCACCTCACATTAGGTTGTATATGACAGAATGAAAAAAATGATAGAGATGTTTAAAAATAAGTGATTGTGGTGTCACTAAAATTATTGGAATTACTAAGATGGGTTCTATAGGGTAATTTCAGTTATTCTGGATTCTTACCAGGCCATTTAAAAAGACATTCAGAAATGAGCAATTAGACCATGCACACAGATTTTTACCTGTGATGACTATGATTTTTTTGATATATCCCAAAGAGTCACAAGAAAAATATTCTTGCACTTACCTTCCTAGGTAAAGTATTTTTTTATCTCATTGGCAGAGAAAAGAACTAATAAATCAGATATTCCTGATATAGCTGATTTAAAGAATTTAGGTCATCATTTAGGCTACCTATAAAAAGGTCAATTAGATTACCTGTGACTAGTGAAGGATAAATTAATCTAGCAGGCACCAAATTGCATGTATTCTACTGAAGAGGTACAGAAGAAACTTGAGCTGTTGTCAGGTGGCCATGGACCCACCCCATGGTATAGGATATAAAGCTCCAGGTACCACCTGGATAAATAATTTGGATGAGACTCTCCAGTAGAATAGTCCTGCTGAAGCTGATGAAAGCCAGGTCATTCAAGGCATTTGTTTTTGCCAGATATATGGCTTATGTTTACAGTCAGAAGCAGTAGCTTGTTAAAAACAAAGGGAGAGCCAATATGATTAAAGTAGGGCAGTAGAAGAGAGGGGGTAGTTTATACTGGAAGTTTGAGCTTGTCTGCTTTCACAGAATAACGATACTAAGATATTTCTTTAGTTTTCACAGACACAGATCATGTACAGATGCAAATATAGATCTAAAAGTCTTTCTTGCACATAGATATTTCTAACGAGGAGTATTTATAGAAGCCAGGGAAACTGAAATCTTTTAAATGTTAATCCCAGCAAATAAAATATCTTAGGCAAATTATTCTCAGATAAGATGCAATTGATTTTACTGTTTAAAAAAATCCAAATAATTTACCACACCACATTTTGGGAAGTCAATTCAATGAAGGATTATGATATAAGATGAGCAAATAGTAATGGGTGAATACTCAGAAGTGTTTGAAAATTTACACCAGTAAAAATGTGTTAAGGGTAAAACAAATTATTTAGAGCTACCATTGCAGGAACAAGAGGGATGTTTGTGTTTATATGTTCTTCATGGAAAATATAATGCAAGTGTAGACTCTACCTGGAGCATCAGTCAGTTATCACACAAGAAGTTACAAAAAAACTGTTACAATATTTAGAATTAGAGAAAATTATAAACCTTTATCCCTGCCAGTTTCTTGGAAACAGCAGTTATCTTCAGGTTTGAATTTTCTAATGAGCTAGAAAACTATTCACTACCCTTTCATCTGTGTGTTCTTTATTGTATTTCTTTTCTGATTGGACTTTCCTACTAGATTTTATAAAGACAAGCAAGCATGAGAGAAATGCATCAGAGCACTAAGAAGTTATATTTTGCTCATTAAATTCCTAAGTATGACATGCAAACAGAGCAGTTTTTTAGCTGAGCCAAGTGTGTCTGATTTTACACTGTCTGGAATCAACTCATGGTTATGAGTTTGCCATCGTGATTGGTAGCTGTACCTAAACCACACATACATTATGCAAGAGGTCATTACTGGAAGTATTTAATTTACATCCTAAGTTTCTCAGCTAGCAAAGCAAAGGGATTTATTGGAGTGAAATGAAACTGAAACAGAGCACAGGCCTCAAGCCAGCAAAAAGAAAAAAAAAAAAAAATGGAACATAAAAGCATTGCATGGCTGCAAGCCAGTGGATGCTCCATCGTGCAGCTGTCAGCCTCCTCCTGTGGCAGGGGCCAGAGAACCCTTTAAGTGATGGTCTGTGGGTTGGCTTCCTAAAGCCTGAGCTGTAGAATACCTCTGACACTGCTGCTGTCACATGCAGCGAGCTGGATGTGGCCTGGGGAGCTCCTTCCCTCTGAGCCCCAGCCTGAGAGTCCATTGTGGAATGTTGGGATGGGCACCAGTGGTCCCTGGGCACCATCCCGAGCTCCTCCACTGTGGGCAGCCTGGGAATGAGAGAAAAGAAGGGGGGTAGATTCATGTCAGGAATTTTTTCAACATCTCAGTAATTTTCAGTGTACTACAAAAAGCAAATAAATGGAAGTTGAATTCTACAGAAATCAAGTCAGTCACTTGTCTAACTGGGCTGGATAGGACCATTAAGTAGTAGTTACTGACTGTAAAAATGCTTTTTCCTTGTTTCTTTTTCTGTGAACTTACTGTCAATTGCACTGTCCTTCTTCCCCTCCAAAGCAAACCAAATGATTTTATTTTCTGTGTCTTATTTTCAGGACATAGACCTATTATTATTACTCACATTATTCTTCATTTTTATAGTCTGTAACACAAAATTTAATTCACTGCTGCTGAATCAAGGCTGGTTTACATGTTTACAATTCACTATAGTTGTGCAAAAAGTCTTATGGACCCATAACTGCACACACAAGATGTTGTTCTGATTGTATTTCAAAAGGATCAGGCTGCTCCAAAGCTCAGGTACTATAAATACCACAAAAGCATGTCTGGAGTCAATATGCTTTTAAAAAGCATCAGGTAAAACTACAGAACTTTTTAGGGGAGAAAAGCAGAAGAATGACAATTGAAAGGATGAACTAAAAATGTACTGCATCTATTTTTCAGGGCTTTAGAACTTTTACTTTTTACAATTTCCAGGAGAAAAATTATTATACCATATTAAAAAAAAAAAAAAAAGCAAAGGTAGCTTATGCCCAAAGAATTAAAAAACATTAATTATGTCAGAAAACAGAATGACTTTTGAAGAAAATTTGCAATTGTACACGTATTGACTGCAGTTAATCTGACTGCATATACTCAGATATTAAGAAAAAATTAGATGGTTTCCATTGTGCTTGGAAGCTGCTAAGTTTTATTTCCTCTGCACTATGATTTTATTTCTGTTTATTTCTGTTAGAAACTTGCTTTTGAATTGCATATAACAAATGCAAGGCTGTAGGCATCTCTTCCTGTAAGTGCACGTTTTTATATCTAGTTTGGAATATGCAATTTGCAAACAGTATCAGGTGACTCTTTTTATGAGATGCTTAGGAGGTTTTAATGCATTCATTACACATGTTGAACTAAATTAACTAAATGGCTGTGTTTGAAACAAGAGCCTGTAAATAAAAAATGCAGTTTGAGCATCAGAAACCTGTGTAGGTTCCTAAACTTACTAATGTTATAAGTGGAATGATTTGAGTTTGTGTCAGTGGGCAGGCTACAGCTGTTGTTCTTGAGCTGGCATTTTCTCAGGCTGCCAAAAAGCATCTGCATCACGGGGCATGTTCTGTATATGAGTGAGAAGAGCAAGAGCTGCAGGACCTTTATTCTCTGCAGCTGATCATGGACAGCAGACTCACAGAATTTCTCTACAGCTTCCTCAGAAATCTCACGAGAAATTAGAAGTAAGGATGATCTTGTCTGCAAACTGAACCTATTGCAAAAAACAGAGTTAGTGGCACAAAGTGTTAGATTAGAGCTTGGGGATCCTGGAAGAACAGAGATCCATATGGAAGTTCTCAGCCTCAGGGAACCAGGCATAGAGGTATTTTGTGTCTTATGAGCTGGCATGCCTTTCCCCCCCTTCTTTTGATTAGGAAAGTTTGCTGGGATTTTTGCCATTAGCAAAAGAAGAGAGAAATTATTTATAAGGTTTTTATAAACCTGGAACTAAAAGTTTTGAAGTTACTGAGAATGAGCAGCAGTAATAACATTATGGACTTTTAATAGGCAGATAAATAGGAATAGCTGTAAGAAGAAATATATTTTAATTTATAACCATTTGTACTCCGAAGTGACTTTCAACAAAATTGGGTAGGGATATTATGTGTTCCTATTTACAGGAAAATCATTATATAATCTAAGTGAATAAGACTTGTGGCAGAGGATTCAATAGCAAATGGCACTTGAAAAAATGTTTTAAGGTTACTTTTTTGAAGCAACAAGTTAGGGATCTATCTACATGAAATTTTGCATCTTTGGAATACATGTCAGAACTCAATGTAGCAATGATTTACTATATTTTTCCTATGTCAGAATTTCAGAGAGAGAAAAAAATTGAGTTATTTATAGACTTCTCCATACTTATAAATCTGATCCCTATTTAGAGTTAAAAGAAATGGAGAGAAACTATATTGGGAAATGATTATTAATCATGTTGGATTAGATTTATAGATATGCCTTTCATAGTAGAACATGGTACACCAGTCAGTGGTTAAAGAGTAGTTGTTTTGTTCTAAAGTTACAGTAAAAATGGCTAATACAAGGTATTTTACTCTTTTTTTTTTTCACATTTGCACTGCTTTGCTGAAATGTTATAATGACATTTTTGTGGTGGAAATAAAATATGAATCCTTGTTTTTGATAGTGTCTCTTTCAGTTGTGAGTTCTGTCAGAAATAAATAAAACATGTAACATTTATGATTGCTAAGTACAGCCACATTTTATTCTGGTTACACATGGACTGAAAACACTGAACACTGCAGAGAGATTTTGAACCAAGATTGTTGGTTTAATAAAAAATGGAAAATTGGTGCAATGTCATTGGAAACATAATACCTAATACTTTATTATTTAGATAGATGCGTAGGTACTTGTATAATAACAATATGTTCAAGTTTTGTGCAAAAAGAAAATTGACAGCTCTGTCTATAAACCTGTATCTCTTTTCTGAACTGTTTAGATGTAGTCAGTTATTTGTCATTAACTATTTTTAACCTTTCAATTATCAATAGTAACAAATACTGTACCAACCACATGCTTTAACCAGAAAGCTCTGTGTGCTTTTGCTCTCCATCATGACAGAAACGTGAAGGAAAATGAGCCACATAGACTACACAAGTGATTCATAGCTTCCATCAAAGCAATATAATTTTAAATTGTACCTTCATTTGTCTTTTCCCTGACAGGAGGCATTGTTGATAAGGACCTTCGTCACTACCTCAATCTGCGGTTCCAGAAGGGTTCGGTGGACCATGAGCTCCAGCAGATCATAAGAGACAATCTCTACCTCCGCACAGTGCCATGTAAGTAGGGTGGAGATGGACAGACCTGGCTGTTTAGTGGCAATAGACTGTGTGGGTGAGTGCTGCTGAGGCCTTTACACTGCATGAAGTGGTGGTCTGTGAATGAAACAGCCTTTCTGTAAATAGATTTGTGGCTTGGTTCCAGTCTTCCACATTACCGCTGAGAAATTCAGCGGTGCAATGCTGATGTTTTCATGGTGTTTTCAAAGTTGTAATTTTATAAAGTCTGTCTCTAGAATAATAATAATCTTATTTCTTCTGTAGTTTCAGAAAGCAGAAATTTAAAGAGAAAAAAGTTTTCTGGGCTGGTTCAGTAGATGTATAACACAGATTGATCTGCCTCATGTTTCACATATCCATTATGTAATAATCCCATTGGATTTAGAAAGCAATGGGGTAACAGAAGTGTATAAACTATAATTTGTTTGAATGCAACAGGCATGACATTGAAAGTTTATACTGTCTTTCATATGTATATGTTGCCATATAAGTCAATATTCAAAATATTCTGAGACCTCTAAAATAATTTTTATTGTATTGACAATATTCAGCTATTTCGACAGTAGACGTGAAATTAAGCAGAGTCAGGCAAGCCTTGTCCAACTGTCAGGGCCATGCCTTTCAGAACAGATCTGCTTGGCTGACAGACAATATATCATTTAAAATGGACTGAAGTTCCATTATTCTTCCCTCATAAAATAATTGCTTAGCAGACATAAAATGGGTCTTCCGGTTTTGGCAAAAAAGGGGTGCACTTTTGAACTTACAGGCTTGACACTGGAATGCCAGGCAGAGGAAGCATACATATGCTGAGTAAGTGGCTGTGCTATTTATATGGTAATGAGTGGATGCTCTTTGAAAGTTGAGTTGTTGTGAATGCTACTGTATGTTTTTTTTTCCCCAATATTAAAGAATGGAGCTTGAAAAGCTCCTCCTAAAAAAATAAATATAAATTTCTAATGTTCCATTTGCAACTGATCAGAAAGGAAGGTGGAGAAAAGCATTTAAAAATTATTACCTGTATGCAGGAAGCAAAAAACGTTATATTTATGTGAGATTTGTGATAAATTAGGTTTTTGTCTGAAAATGCTGAAACATTCCAGCTGAAGTGGGAATGCAAGTACAAAAAGGTTTTGAGACTAAATCCCATTTCCAAGGATGCCTGGGAGCATCATTTGCCTAAGTGTATTCTTCTTTAACCCCAGTCTGTGCTCATTAGTGCCACAGGTCCAGGTTAAAGAAGAAGGAAAATAAAACAATATTGCAACTGCTGCACACGTGTCGTGTATGACAGACACTATCTGTCAGAAATATGAGCATAATAAGTGTTTTTGAGGTGGTTCTGTTTTCATTCAAGGCAATAATAAAGTGTTCTCATGTGTCAAGTAAAATACAGTACTTACAGAAGCAAATTCGTCATTCAAAATGTAACACTGCGTCCACAAAGATTGCAATTTGAAATCTATAAACAATGCCATCTTTTCCTTCTGCTACGGCTTCTCCATCTTCTGTGTCACTTTAGCTGGCTAAATTCTTAGGTCATTATTATGTAGTGAGTGTATTTGACTAAGTAAAAACTACATTTTGAAATATAATATAGTATTACAGATGGCAGGTTTTGATTTGCTAGGTAAGCTGGCAAATATTCTTGGAGAGCAGAGGACTCTTTTCAGTAGTAGTGGTAGGAAAAAAACACAACAGAAAAAACGAACAACTCCTTAGTGTCTAATTGGTATATTTTCTTCAAAATGTTCTTGAAAAATTCTATGAAAGTAATCCTTCTTTAAAGTGGGTATTTAAAAAAGAGAAGAAATTATCAATGGCAGACAGGATGATTTGTGGTTAGCTAAAGGATTTTTCATAACCAGTCAAATAAAAAGGACACCATCTTATAGTTTGCAAGCCAAATTTCCCCTAAATCATAATGTTGAATCTTTCAATGTAACTTTACTCTGTCCCCCACAATCATGCCTAGGAGGGAAAATATTCTCAATGGTTTTCTTATTTTCATATAACTTAATTTTTGAATCACAAACTTACCTTTCAAGGGCACTGGTATTCAAAATCTTCTGCTCTGGGCAGTATTTTGTTTTTAAACTCTGTACATAGTCTAAGAGTACTAGTTGTTTGTCCTAACTCTGTCCTTAGCATACAGTGGTAATGTTTAACTGACTGTACCACTGCCCACAAGTTCACTTAATGAGTGCACCTAACCATGAACTTATTGCAGATCTTGCAACAGATGCCAAAGCAAAAGCAGGACTTAGTTTTGTCAAATTCTTGTGCAGAAAAATAGATATGGAAACCCAACTGCAGGCAGCATAGACTTAATTTCCAATGACAAGGTTGTAACACAAAGAGAAAAAAAAACCTGAAAAACACATGGCAACATTTTCTTTTTAAAAATGTGTCTGCAATCTCTGCTGTTACAGAGACAGAATTGCCAGTAAAACCATGAGAAGGATTATAGAGAGTCTTTGACCTTGAGTTTTTCTGTCCTTTGCTTTCTGTTCACACTGGCAGCACTGGCCCCAGCAGTGCAGTGGGCATGACCATGGGTTTCTCAGCCTTCTAGGTCAGACTGAAATACCTTTCACTTGCATTGAATGAGTGAGTGTGCTCTGTGAAGCCAGGAAGCAGAGAATTAATCCATACCTCTTTTAAATCAGGATAAGCCAACTCAAGTTAGATAACTGAACTAGCATTTTCTAGAAACTAGATGGGGTTGGGCCTTGGACTCAACCCTGGTAGTGTCTAAAACCAGGCTGGAAAAGGCCTTAAACAACCAGCTCCAGTGGGAGGTCCCAGCCCATGGTGTGGAGTGTTGGGACAAGATGATCTATAAGGACCCTTCCAATCCCTTAACATTTGATGACTCTATGATTCTAGATAAGTCTTTGAATTGTCAATTATACAAGTATACATCCCAGTGTACACCAAAAAGTAGATGGGCCAGAATCACATGACATGAGGATAATGGGTCAGTTCTGCCCTCAGAAATTGTAGCCCCTGGGAATGGGATGAATTGGTTGGGTTTGTGATCCTTACATTTCTCTATTTTTGCAAATGCAGTGCCCCTTTGTACTAAATTAGAAAAGACCATGTAACCCAGAGAGTCAAATGCTGCCTTCCATAAGTGTAGCAGTTCTCAGTGCCACATGAAATTGCTTTTCCCTGCATTGCCAACAGGAATGATATGGGTATATCCCTGGGCAGAATGTACAGTTGTACTTGCAGCAGTCAAGATGCAGCTGTTAACAAGGCAGTTTTGGGGGAAAGAAAAGTTCCTTATTATCTAGTTTCAGAAGACCTAGCTGAAGTTTGTGTCATGCATTTTCTTCCCCTTTTTCTGTTGTGTTGAATTTTATCACATTTCATGTCCTAAACTTACAAAGATATTTAGAAGCACTATTGTGGTTGTCCTGCAATAAAGAAAAGTAGGTGTGGTGAAACGTGGTAGCTGTCATCACTGTCTGACACTATTCATCCAAATCTAGGGATCCAGAGAAGGGCCACCAAACACATGTAGGGCTCTGAGTGCTATAGGTAGACAACACCTTAATCATGCTGCATCTTGTGCTTGGTAGTGCTCTCAGCAAGCTGCAGTTGCCATGTGGGCAAGCAGCTTTCCAGTCTTCAGTAATGTGAGAAAAGGTAGCTCTAACTTTGTGTCATCACAGGGATAAAGCTTTGAGGAGAGTACATCACAGGAAAGCAGTTTTGGTAGTGACAGTCATGGTCTGACCTGTCCCCTTTCATATGTCCTTCCCAGCAATTGCAAATTCCATTTCTTGAAGAGCTGGCAAAATAGGGTAGCTGTGGTTGAAAATAGAATCTCTGTATGCTTCCTTTCCAGACAGGGAATGTGAAATGATAGTGCAAAACATTGTGAATAAACAGCACTGTAAAAAGTCAAGGACAAGCTGATTCATAAAAGTAAAAAGTCATCCATTAATTGGAAGAGAAGCTCATTGATATCCTCTGGGATATAACCTCACATTGACAGTAGCTCGGATGAATTGGTCTATCCTGCTGCACCCTAGGAGGATGCAGCCCATGAATGCTTTCTTCATAGTGAAAATGGGGAAAAATAGCTTTAAAAAGATTATGGGGATGAGGAAGCTTCCTTTCTAGTCTTTGAGTTTAGAAAAAAAGGAATGAAGTAAGAATACAGAGGACTGGGCATGTGGACCAGCCTTACAGCACTGGATACTGCACTATTACCATTAGCACAGGGATTGGAGGAAGGATGTTTTATTTAAGGCATTTATCAGCAGCATAGGAAAAAAATTCGGTTTGTAACTGAGCCATATGCTGTGTGTGAGTGACCAGGGGCAAGAAATGGAATCATTATGAGCAGCAGTTTCCCACATACCAAATCCTGATAACAAACCCTCCTTTTTCTCAGCTTGCCTGTTGATGCCACGGGTGCTCAGTGTTAAATGAATATAATTAACCCTGCACTGCAAATATGACACCTATGAACTCTTAATAAGTAACTTAAGTCACTTCTGCTGTGACTTTTTTTTTCCATCTTCTGTGAATATCTAGATTTAGGTAATTTTGAGTCAATATAAATAAGAGCCTCATTTTCAAATATGTTTTAGTTCTATTGTATTTTAGTATAGTCTGGTCTATATATAAATTTAACCCACTTGCTGTAATATTGTCTGTGTACTGTTGAAATGTTGTATCTTGCAGCATGCTTATGCTTGTTGTCTAGTCCTCTTCCCAGAAAAAGTAGTACATGCAGTGATACACTTTTTTTCTGGGTGTTGGTTTTATTTATCGTATACAGTAAAAGTAGAACCATTAGCTTATATTTTGGTGATACTAAAGTCAATAAAATATGTTTATATGTGAAGCTGCAGGGGAATTCACACTTTCAGACCTGAAGAAATCTTCATCTGCAAAACATTGCAAAACAAACAAGGTCTTTCCCTTTGTCAGAGAAATGTAATATATTTTCAAACCTTACTCATTCATAACTTACTTCATGG